TCCGCTAATTCTGTCACCCATCAAGCTTGTCGTCGATTGAGTTTCTGCAGCTTTCTGAAGTATTGGAGGTTTTGATGGTCAGTCCATATCTCGAAGTCGTCTGCAGCCCCCATGAGGTAGTGTCTCCATTCCAACAAGGCGAGCATGATTGCCAAGAGCTCTTTGTCATAGATCTCATAGTTGTGTTCAGTGGTAGTAAGGGATTTAGAGAGGAAGGCTACTGGTCTCCATTTCCCATCCTGCTCTTGACTAAGGATGGCCCCGACCGCTCCTTCACTTGAGTCAGCCTCCACCTGGAATTTGCCTTGCTCACGAGGCAGGGTTAGGACGACATCCTTTGCCATCTGATCCTTGAGTCACTGGAAGGCTTGATTCTGCACCGCTCCCCAGGTCCAGGGAGATTTGCCGGTCAACTGAGTGAGGGGGCAAACTATCTTGGAGTAGTCTTTGATAAACTTCCAATAGAAGTTGGTGAATCCTAGGAATGACTGGAGTTCTTTCTTCTTTGTCGGTGTAGGCCACTCTGTTATCCCCTTTACTTTCACCGGGTCCATCTGTACCGCCCCTTCACTGATGATCACTCCCAAGTACTCCGTTTCTAGTACTTCAAATTCACATTTCTCTGCTTTGAGGAACAGCTTGTTTTCTCAGAGGCGTCATAGTACACACCGAACCAGGCGGCGATGTTCCTCGAGATCTTTTGAGAAGATGAGGATGTTGTCGAGATATATGGTGACCTTTCCTTCGCTTATCAAGTCATGGAAGATGTCATTCATCATCCATTGGAAGGTCGCAGGTGAGTTGGTTAGCCTGAAGAACATAACCGTGGGTTCAAAGAGCCCTCGATTAGTCCGGAATGCTGCTTTAGCCTCGTCCCCTTCTTTGATCCGGACATTGTTATACCCCCATCTAACATCAAGTTTAGTGAAGTATTTAGCCCCCTGTAATTTATCCATGAGCTCAGAAATGAGTGGGAGCAGGTAGCAATTTTTGATGGTCATCTCGTTGAGCTTCTGATAGTCCTGGACCGGTCGAAGGGAACCGTCCTTCTTTTTAACAAAGAAGAATGGGGATGCGAATGGGGATTTAGATGGTCGGATTCTTCCACTGGTGAGGTTCTCATCCAGGAATTTATCCAACTCTTCTTGTTCGTTTCGGTTGAGGGGGTAGACCTTGCAGTCGAGCGTGTTTTGGGCATTAGGGATTAGTTCGATTGCATGGTCCCACAGCTTTCGTTTGGGTAGTTCATTGAAGTTATCCTTCAAGAATAGGTCGTGGAACTCACGATACCAGCTGGGGACCAGTTCTTCAAACGACTGTTTAGGCTTTCCTTCAGAGGCCTTAGCGGCTAAGTCATTAGTGTGGTGCAGCACCTGGATCTCCATGGCTTCTTGAACGTCTACGGCTAGGATGGTTTCCCCTTCCTCTAACTCCTCATCCCAGCGGTCCTCTGGGTCTGTGTCAGGTAAGGGGAACGGGTTCGTTTTGCATTGACAGCGTCCGAAGAGTATCTTTCCAGTTACCCAATTGATGATGGGGTTATGCCGTTTAAGCCAATCATGCCTGAGGAATAGGTCTCCCTTGCCGAGTTCGGTCACTGTGAGGTTGATTTGTTCAGCATGATCCCCTAGGGACATTCATAGCTCTATGAACTCGGTGATTTCCCCTGCCTGATTTCGGGTGCCATCAGTGTTATATACTGGTATCGGAGAAGGTGCCGGGTATGTCTGGAGGCCATTTTGTTCCACATACTTCCGGTTAATGGAGCTTCCGGTACAGCCACTATCGACAAGGGCACGGGCTTTCAGAGTTTGTCAGTCCGCTAGGGTTTCCAGTTGGGCATTGACTAATAGCTCTCTGGTCCCGTCAGTTCGTACTCGTCGTAGGTAACATATCGGTTCCTGTAGCTCGTATAGCCGTTCCCTGGCCAGTTCCCCCCCTAGCCGGAGGCATCGTATTGCTTCCTCATCCACCTCCCCTTCCCTTCCCTTATGTACCCAGAGATAGAGGGCTGCCAATGCCTCGGAATCAGTACATGCTTCCTGAATAGCCCGAAGAGTCCAGTCAGGACCAAAGGGCTTAAACCAGGTAGTCTTCGGGGGCGAAGCACATTCCATGGGATTTCCAGGCGTGGGCGACTGTGTCTCTTGCCTTGACTGGGAGAGACAATAAGAAGTATCGTCGTCGTCATCTGGGACTTCTTCAATAGTGACTCGTGGCAGTCAGGGCATCTCTCACCCGGTTCAGCCCTCTTGATCCTTGTGGGCAATTGAGGTTTTGGCGACCGGGGTTCTTCGCTGCTCTTCACCCTCGGACGGGTTCTTCATGGGGTCTCCCTTGGGTTTCTCTTGGGTGAAGCCGCCCTCAACTTCGACCTTTGCTCGGGCCTCGCTGATAGGAATGGCGGCTCCAGCATCCTCGGTGGTCAGGGTTCCTGCCTGGGGCGCAGCCTGCTTGGTGGCAACGGGGGCGTCGTGTGTCTTGTGCCGTAAGAACGGTCTAACACCTCTGGAGGACACCTTCTCCATGGTCAAGTTAGGTGCATCCCCAGGTCTTATGGTTTCATAGCTGGAAAGTGGGGCCCAAGGGCTAGACGGGAGGCGAACGAGGTATTTATGTGGAGATTCAAACTCCGCAGTCGGAGTTTGCTGCGATTCTTTTGGGGATTGTACACTCGGAGAAGTGGAAGCAGGTATATTTGAATGCTGGTGATATGATGTACGTAAAGTATTGTTACAAAAAGACCTGCTGGCCAGGTCCAAGCACACAATGGATGGAATAATTGTTCTGGCCGAGCAAGTGGAATCGCTCACTAGTCAGCCTCCCCTTTTACCTCTTTGACCCCAGACATTGAGGGCATCTTCTCCTCAACTGGCTCCTTCTGTTCTGCCTCTGCCTTGACTTGATTGTCGAGCATTGCATGTAGCTGCTCCAACGTGTAGGTATATCTCCCTGTTTTTGCGTCTCTGGGTCGCTTCAGGGCTCAGCAATCCTTGGCCAGGTGACCCTTCTTTCCGCAGTTATAACATCTCTTCTCCCGGCGCATCCGATCAATGTCCATTGGTTCTCCTGCCCCCCCATAGGTAGTCCAACTGCCTCCGGTGTTGGCGGTCAACTTATTCCTGCTCAAACTTGTCACACCACTAGCTTTCTGACTAGTGCTAGTGGCAGGGGTTTTTTGTTTTTGAGGAGGGTCACTTTGGTAGTGGATGTGATCGAAGGCGGCCTTCTTGGTGCATTCGTCGTACATGGTACAGACCTGTTGTTTCCATTGCCAATAGTAAGTGGGAATGAACATTCCTAAGTCGGAGATGAACTTGGTATAGTCATCGGGGAGTCCTTGATGGATTGCCCGAACGAGCGCGGATTGGGGTCCTTCCTCATGTCGTAGTCCTGCCAACATTGCCAGGTGCTCCAGATGTTGGAAGTAAGTGGTGGCTGTCCCGTTGCCCATCCATAGCTCCATCATCTTTTGCTCGTGCTTTTCTGGGATGGCAGGGTCTGAGAATTGTTTTCGGAATGCTTCAACCCATTCGTCCCATTGTTGATACTGATGTCGGTTTTTGCTCTTTGAGAAGAACTCGACTCGGTGGTAGACCCACCAAGTCTTGGGTCCTTCCTCCATGTGGGATGTGGCATAGTTGATCATGATGGGACTGCTAATCATGAAACGGGAGAAGGTTTTGAACTATTGGAGGCAGTCCCCAATAAACCGGTCGACATCCTCATGTTTCCTGTTGAAGTATTTGGTCAGGGCTATGAGGGTAGGTTTGATACTGTAGTAGGGGTGATCATCTCGTAGGGCGCCAGTGGGCCAGTCGGGGGGGTTGGGAGGCAGGTCTTTGTGGGGTGGCTGTGGGAGTGACCATCAGTCCATTCAATCTCCCAGGGACCCTCGATGGTTGGGTGGCAGGGGGGGTGGTTTCGCCTGCAGGGCTGAGGAGAAGCCCCAGCATTTGTCCATCCACTCGAGGATGCTTTGGGCATCTTTTATGTTTTCGTAGATGTCCTGGACCGCTTTTTCAGCCTCCTGCCTTCGCTGGGCTTCTGTTTTTACTTTATTGGTTCCTGGAGGTGGGGGACCTAAGTCGGAGGGCGCCTTGGGGTCCTCATCAGGATCGGGATCCTGTTCCATCTCGTCATCCCTTTGTTTCTCTCATGCCCTTTCAGAGGGTCCTGCCTCTGCTTCTCTGCTTCCTGTGAAGAGTTGACTGCTCCCCTGCCACTGGGCTCCTGGCCGTCGATAATTGATCCAGGGTGGCGTATCGGGTAGCAGTTCAATCTGATCCTCCGTCTTCTCCTGGTTCCATTCACTCCTGGGATCGTTCCCAGTCCATCCGTAGGCATTGTAGGTCCCGCTCCAGGGCCCTATGTTTGCTCTCGGTTCTTCATCGTAGATGCGCAATTCTTCTCCCAGGGATAGGTCCTTCAATCCTTCGGGCCAATAACCCGGCGGCATTGAGGTCCTCGTCTCGAAGTCCCTCTCGATCCCAGTACTCTCCCATGGAGAGTTGGTCTCCTCTCCTCTGTCGTATGTCTCTGGCCCTCCGGTCCCATGCTCTGGCCCGGTACCTTCCCAGTACAGTCCTATCCTCATCTCAGAGGATAGGCCATTCCCTGTCTGGTCTGTTCCCATTAAAAGGGTCAGTGGAGGTAACCTAGAGAAAGAGGGTCTGTTCTCAGACCAGTAGGTCTGGGGCCGTGTCAGGATCCTCTTGATCCTGTCATCGAAGGTAGTGGTCCACAGGTTCCCCCTCCATTGGGCTTCTGAACCTGATGACATTCCTTCTGACCAGGCAGATTCAAAGCCTAGACTGCCAGTAGTTGTTTGCCACCTATGGCTGTTAGATTGATGCATGAAATGTATCAGTTAACAGATTGAATTCATGCATCAGGACTGTCAGTGGACTAACCAGCCTATATAGGGTATTTTCGCAGTACTGCATGGTATATTAGTCAGCAGAAGACTCCGGACCAAATGATGTCATCACCAGAAAATCCGGCAGTTCCGGGACTTGAACCCAGGACCTTAAAAAGACTTTCAATGATGTCACATGACTTAGCCAAAGCACACATGTTAACCACTATACCATACTGGCATTATATATTCATGTAATCAGCTCCCTATATAGCCTCCCTTTCTTAATATTTATAATATACTTATAATATCCCTCCCTTTGGTGCGCTTTGATGCGCATTTTCTTGCCTTATTGTGATACTCAAATCAGCCCATCAATTGCACCCAGAACTGGCTGTGCCATAGCATTGATGGCATCAATATCAGGCCATTTTCGGAAACATTTGGCATTTTGGCTCATTTGGGGCTTCCTCAGGCTACTGGGTGGCCCAGGGGATGGCCCTAGTATATGAATAAACATAAATAGCATAAAATATAACCCTCTGGGGAGCTGTGGGGGCCCTGGGGAGGGGGTAAAAGGGGTAAAATTGCGGAAAATTGCGGAAAATTGCAGAAAATTCACGATTTTGGGGTGCTACATGCATTGGATCGCTTCGAAACTTGGACAATAAATTATATGAACTTGAGAATCCCTAATTGGTACCTCTACAGCACATGTGGCGCATTTTATGGCTAGGCATAATCGGTAAAATTGGCTTTTTATGGTACTGCGTACGTCGGATCGCTTTAAAAATGTTACAGATCGATTTCTACACCATGAAAACCCTAGAATGCGTCTTCATATGATATATATGACCACTTCAATGCGATGAAAAAACAAAAAAATCGCGGAAAATAGCAGACAAATTGCATTTGGGGGGTGCTGCACAGGCTGGATTTCTTTGAAACCTTCACCAATGTGTTCTGCAGCCTCAAAAACCTCCAAACGAAGCTTGGCTTTATTTGTAGGACTCTAGGACAGATATAAAAGAGTGAAAAACAGGTAAAATAGGGAGAAAATCGTGTTTGGGAGTGCTACATGCCTCTGATTGCTTTGAAACGTGTACCAATGGATTCAGAGAGCATGAAAACCCCAAAAACAAGCCCTTGCTCTCTTTTTGGGCACTCAGGAGGGGTAAAACAGGTAAAATAGTGAAAAATTGCGGAAAATTTGCATTTGGGGGGTGCTGCATGCATTGAATTGCCTTGAAACTTTCACCAGTATGTTCCAAAGCATCATAGATCTATAAACAATGCTTGGTTTTATTTGTGGGGCTCTAGGTTTGATATAAAATAGGGAAAAATAGCAAGAATTAGAGAAAATCGCGTTTTGGGGATGAGGCGTGCATCCAATTGCACTGAAACATTTACCAATGGATTCTGTGACCTTGAAAACCCCCAAACGGCCCCTGGTTAGATTTGTGGGCACTCAGTATCGATCATCAAATTGATATTACATTTTAAGGGGAGCACACATCAAAAGTCGCATTTCCTGGTGTCGGAAAACTTCGGAGTTAGGTCCAGTGGATTCCTAGACCTTTGAAACACTCAGAAGAACCCAGGATGGCAACCAAGAGCTGCGAAATCCATGATAAAAAGGGGGAAACTGAAATTTTGCGAAATTTCATATCCCTCACATTTCTGAGAGTTGGGGAGGGTGATACTAGTACCAGATATACAATACATACTGTATAAATGTGTGGACAAAATCGCAAGGGGATCCAACCTGTACTGGCAGAGATATAAGCAGATCTTTCCAGAAATGAGGAGAGGCACACTCCAGATCTCAATGTTCTGGCCATCCTATGGGCTGGAGACCATCAGATTCGGGTTCCTTCACCCAAAAAACATAAGAGGGACCTATCATCCCTGGAGCCTATTTTTACTGGTAGGCAATCCATGTACACCACTGTCTTAGTACATAAATAAAGCACACTCTTTACCTCGGAGTTTAGACACAGGAACCTCATGGATGATGAGTGCTCCTAGTGTTTTTTGGGTGAAGGAACCCGAATCTGATGGTCTCCAGCCCATAGGATGGCCAGAACATTGAGATCTGGAGTGTGCCTCTCCTCATTTCTGGAAAGATCTGCTTATATCTCTGCCAGTACAGGTTGGATCCCCTTGCGATTTTGTCCACACGTTTATACAGTATGTATTGTATATCTGGTACTAGTATCACCCTCCCCAACTCTCAGAAATGTGAGGGATATGAAATTTCGCAAAATTTCAGTTTCCCCCTTTTTATCATGGATTTCGCAGCTCTTGGTTGCCATCCTGGGTTCTTCTGAGTGTTTCAAAGGTCTAGGAATCCACTGGACCTAACTCCGAAGTTTTCCGACACCAGGAAATGCGACTTTTGATGTGTGCTCCCCTTAAAATGTAATATCAATTTGATGATCGATACTGAGTGCCCACAAATCTAACCAGGGGCCGTTTGGGGGTTTTCAAGGTCACAGAATCCATTGGTAAATGTTTCAGTGCAATTGGATGCACGCCTCATCCCCAAAACGCGATTTTCTCTAATTCTTGCTATTTTTCCCTATTTTATATCAAACCTAGAGCCCCACAAATAAAACCAAGCATTGTTTATAGATCTATGATGCTTTGGAACATACTGGTGAAAGTTTCAAGGCAATTCAATGCATGCAGCACCCCCCAAATGCAAATTTTCCGCAATTTTTCACTATTTTACCTGTTTTACCCCTCCTGAGTGCCCAAAAAGAGAGCAAGGGCTTGTTTTTGGGGTTTTCATGCTCTCTGAATCCATTGGTACACGTTTCAAAGCAATCAGAGGCATGTAGCACTCCCAAACACGATTTTCTCCCTATTTTACCTGTTTTTCACTCTTTTATATCTGTCCTAGAGTCCTACAAATAAAGCCAAGCTTCGTTTGGAGGTTTTTGAGGCTGCAGAACACATTGGTGAAGGTTTCAAAGAAATCCAGCCTGTGCAGCACCCCCCAAATGCAATTTGTCTGCTATTTTCCGCGATTTTTTGTTTTTTCATCGCATTGAAGTGGTCATATATATCATATGAAGACGCATTCTAGGGTTTTCATGGTGTAGAAATCGATCTGTAACATTTTTAAAGCGATCCGACGTACGCAGTACCATAAAAAGCCAATTTTACCGATTATGCCTAGCCATAAAATGCGCCACATGTGCTGTAGAGGTACCAATTAGGGATTCTCAAGTTCATATAATTTATTGTCCAAGTTTCGAAGCGATCCAATGCATGTAGCACCCCAAAATCGTGAATTTTCTGCAATTTTCCGCAATTTTCCGCAATTTTACCCCTTTTACCCCCTCCCCAGGGCCCCCACAGCTCCCCAGAGGGTTATATTTTATGCTATTTATGTTTATTCATATACTAGGGCCATCCCCTGGGCCACCCAGTAGCCTGAGGAAGCCCCAAATGAGCCAAAATGCCAAATGTTTCCGAAAATGGCCTGATATTGATGCCATCAATGCTATGGCACAGCCAGTTCTGGGTGCAATTGATGGGCTGATTTGAGTATCACAATAAGGCAAGAAAATGCGCATCAAAGCGCACCAAAGGGAGGGATATTATAAGTATATTATAAATATTAAGAAAGGGAGGCTATATAGGGAGCTGATTACATGAATATATAATGCCAGTATGGTATAGTGGTTAACATGTGTGCTTTGGCTAAGTCATGTGACATCATTGAAAGTCTTTTTAAGGTCCTGGGTTCAAGTCCCGGAACTGCCGGATTTTCTGGTGATGACATCATTTGGTCCGGAGTCTTCTGCTGACTAATATACCATGCAGTACTGCGAAAATACCCTATATAGGCTGGTTAGTCCACTGACAGTCCTGATGCATGAATTCAATCTGTTAACTGATACATTTCATGTATCAATCTGGCAGGCTGGGCTGAGTTTGTGGTGTTGTGGTTGTGATCAGATTGGAATCTGGGGCTCCTGGGAGGGGTATATGAGTTGTTTGCTTGAAGGGGGAGTCCTTCTGATATGAGGAGGTGGCCAGGCCATGAATTTGGTATGAGGGGCTTGGAATAGGGGATGGGTTGCTTGGTGTCCATAGCACTGTGAAGGATGGTGTCGGTCTGGTGTGCCTGCCAAAGGGGTCTGGTAGTAGTTTGGGCCTGAATGATGGTGCTGGTGGTGGTGGTGGTGCTGGTCGGGCTATCGGGTCTAGGTACGTGCCTTCCATTCTCCATCGACCAACACGTGGTTGGGCTGTGTACCCTGGGGTCAAGCTCTGTGATGTCGAGCTCGAGGTCCTCGCTATTGGGACTAGGATTGGAATCTGGAGAGGAGTGCTGAGTTCCAGAAGGTCCAGCGACGGGGGCAGGGATGACTGCCTCGGGGGTGGTTGGTCTTGCAGCAAGACTTCTAAGGCTCAGTTGGCGCCCATCAATCGGGCTAGTTGGTGGCGAATGGAAGGGGTCCCTTCTGATGTATTGGGGGTAGTGGGTTGGGATGTAGTGCTCTGGAATGGGTTGTTGCTCCTCCACCTGCCTCGTCCTCTGTCTCCCATGGCTGTGGTTCTCAATCCACCAGCCTACACTGTTTTGCTGCCAGTAGCAGACTATTAGAAGGACGATGAGTGTGACAATGGTGAAGGCGACTGCGCCTCCTGCGATAGTTTCTACGGCGGCTCCTTCTAGGGTTCTGGGTGTGATCATGGGTGTCTCCTTCGGTGATACGTTAAGGAGAACTAGGAAGCTTCGAGCTAACTGTTAGGCCTGAGCACCACGAGGTCCAAACAGGTATAAACTCAGGGCTGTCTCGTGTTCAGACAATCACTCAAAGAGTCACCGTAATGTTTAGATGTGGGCTGGATCCTTGTTGTTAACTTTCGGCAAGCGAGTCAACGAGGATAGTTTTGGTGTATGTAAACTTTAGCTCGAAGCTGGAGTATACTACAGTGAGAGCTACTACTTATATACAAAAATGATAGAACTAAAACGATAGTTCCGAATGACAATAGAAGTCCATTAGTAAGTGGAGTTCGGGACAATTGAGTAAGCAGGATTGCATAACGTGTGAAGAAAAGTGAAAAAGTGAATAAATCGTAACAGTATGACAGCTGTCAGAAGGCATGGGAGTCTCTTGAGGATGTTTTTCTTTAGTGGCAACCACAGGACATCATGACTGTGGGTTCAGGAGCATAGCCTATGATTCACATAGTAAGACTCTAGTAAGAACAACGAGC